TTGAGAGACAGGCCAATGTAGTACATGGAGAGTTGCCATCAGAGTGAGAAAGACCTGGGTTTGACACTTGCCTCTCTACCATATCCTGGCTGTGTGATCCTGGTCACTTAGTTAACTGTCTCTGCTACCAGGGAACTTTCAAAGCCTATAAATTTCAGAAGAGGCTCATATCTGCATTGGTAGAGGGATTTTCTCACCCATAACATCCCACAAGCATAACAAAATAAACAAGCTAGTTTTAAGAATATCTCCCTCTATCTCCCCAAGTCCACTCTAGTCTGGATATTTCAAATGTTGGATCTGAAGTCATAAAACCTGGGTTAGAGTCCCGACTCACATGTTAGTGTTATTACTATCAGTAGTAGTAGTAGTAGTAATGTATTATTATTATTATTATTGTTATTATTATTATTATTGGCTGTACTAACCCCATCTAATTGAGTCAAAAGTAGAAACAGTCCTAAAAGTGCATTTAACCAGATACACAAGGTAATTTGTTCTCTGGTTCAAGAATTTTTTGAACCTCTAGATCAATAACATTTTCTATTGGTCTTCCTGTTTTCTGTCCTTTCCTCACAAAGAAAATCAATTCCCCTAAGGCTTTTAAAGCAAGTGCTTTCTTAATTACATTGCCATGGGAGACAAATATATGTTTACACATGCAAATGCCCATCTAAACAGTGGCAGGAACATGGTGTTCACCTTTTTGATGCTGTTATTGGGGGCCTTTTTAGAATTCCTAATTGGAAGGCAGTTTGCTTTAGCAAGAAAGATGCCCAGGTGACACTCAGCAACCCTGTTTGTTTCTCTCCATGTTCTGCCATTCAGTTCCTGCAGGTGACCTAGAACATTTAATGTTTGAGCTGGGAGATACGTTAGAAGCACTGTGATTCAACCCCATTATTTTCCAAAAGAGGAAACTGTGGCTTGGCACCTCTTGGAAGCAATATGTCCAAGATGATGGATATAATGACGGCACGTGGGCCACAGCCCAGTTTTCCAGACTTCCTGTCACAACAGCAAAAACCAGCACTAGACAAGGAATAAGGAGACTAGGGTTCTATTTCCATCTCCTCTGTGAATGAGCTGTATATCCAAGGATGAATCATTTCTCCAAGTGTCAAGAGGGAAGAGTTGTTCTGGCTCCATGAAAGGTGTTGATTTCTTTTTTTTTCCTGATGAAACACAGACCATAAATTCTAATTCTGTGAGCCTTTACATGGCATATTTCAAATTAACTCACTGTTGTAGTTATTCTGGGAAATCAAAACTGCACTTGACATGTTGTTATCTTTCAGACAATACCTACATGGATCAGCATGTTGTTAGAAATGTCATTGTACAGTATTGTCAAGATCACTGGACTTGGATTCAAGGTCCTGGGTTTCTTATCGTGGATTAGACACTTAATAGCTCTACTCTAAGCCAGTATTTTGAATTATCTTTTATAAACTGGGTCATAGTACTTAAAAGATGACTTTAGTCCTTTACATATCTGAGTTCTATGATCTTAAATGTTTTGTGGAGTAAATGGGCCAAGCATTATTATGCCTCTTAGACAAATGAAGACTCCTCTAGGAGTGTGTTGATGCCAGCATTAACTTTTGGGGAGAGCCAATTGTTAAATTTTCACTTTGAGCATTTACATCTTGGAAATCACAAATCAGGGCTTGATTTATAGTTTTGTTTATTGTCCAGACTTAAAAATGTAATGGAGAAAATGTTAATAGTGCAGAAATTTAAAAGTACTGTGTATACAGGCTTTTTTCTTTTGGTTTGGTTGGGTTTTGTTTTGTTTTCAGTTATTTTTGGTTGTTTGTTTTTATTTTTACCCCTCCTGGTGAATCAATTGTTAAACATTTACTAGCACACCATTAAAGACCCAGAAGTACAAGGTGGTCAGTAGAAAACTAGGGGATTCTGATTCCTGGACTGGTCCTCTGTTCCTCACATCATAGCCTAGCTTGACCACTTAGACCAAAAGTTCCTTCAACTTTAGAGAGTATGTGTATTGACAAGAGCAGACTATACGTGGAGTATTTTATTTAATTCAGGGCACCCCATTTTAGAAAGAGACATTAAAAATCTATTTTGCTTTGTTTTGTTTTGTAGAGAGAAGGGTGACAAGAATTTCCTGATTATGCCCAAAGTTTTCAGTTAATTTTATTTCAAGAAGTTTTAGTAAGTAATATATGAGGCACCATGCTAGTCAAAAACCTGATGTTAAGGAATTTCTGTTCCAAAGGGGTGAGGAGAGTTCTACCTTTAACCAAGAGAGGAAGAGACACCTTCACTTTAGACTTTATAAGTGTCAAGCTGGGATTTCAACCAAAGTCCTCTTACTCCCAATAAGTGTGCCCTAAATAGATTTTAGGCTCAGAGAAGTTATAATTTGTCCAAGGTCACATAGGCATAACAGTAGCAGAGCAAAACCTAAATTTCTGTCTCCAAATACAGTGCTCTGTCTCCTGTAGAAATCTGCTTCTCAAATAATATTTGCCTTACCTACCTTGTAGGTTTGCCATGAAATCAAAATGAAATCATGTATTTAAAGATAATAAATGCAAAAGCATTTGTGTTCACAAAGTGCCAAGCAACTGAATTATTATTGTTATTTCACTGTGAAACTTGTTTGGGAAGTGGGTGGGATACTTTGTAGTAGATCTAGACCTCTACTTAGTACTGCTGGTCCCCCTCCCAAGCTCATTATTGTAGCAGTGAATAACGAACAAAGTTCACTGTGGAGTCAAGTTGTGCATATTATTGTACATAAAACATGTATGACCCATTGTGTTTATACAATAAGGGCATTAGAAGTCAGGTATTCAAGTTTGATGGGTTACTTAACTCAACAACGTCTGACTAAAAAAGCACACAGACTATTAAAAAGGTGGGGGGAAAGCTTATAATAGTTCTAGCTTTATGCAATCTAGACATGGAAGTGGCCACCATAATGTGATTTTAAAGGTCCCCTGGCAGGGCCTTTCTGTCTTAAAAGATCTCCCCAGACATGCTTGAAATTCTATACTTCACTTTATCCCACACTTGAGCATTCCAGACATTAGAGATTCGTTTGGCTTAACAAGTATGTCTTTTTATAAATGCATTCTCCTTGGTGGGTTCAGGGTCTGGGAAGGCTATGAGTCATTCAACAGCTTTGATATACGTTCTATGTCCTATGTGCCAAAGAGTTTATTTTTCCAAGAAGCAAAATGGTGTAGTCGATAAGGCACTGGATTTGGGAATAGGGAAGACTTGGATGCAAATCTCTTCTCAGATCCTTACTAGTTCTATGACCCTGAGCCAGCCACATAACCCCTTTCCTTACCTGTAAAGTGACAGAGTTGTACTTGACTTTCTGAGTCCTTTCTAGCTTTAACTCTATAATCTTATGATCCATTTCCAGCCAATAATTCAGATCATGATCTTTCTTACTATTTTTGTGGGCATGTTAGATAGACCCCTTTGGCAATCTGATGAAGCCTATGGACCCCTTAAAAGAATAATATCTTGAAATAATTGAAGGAAATACTAAATTTGGTTAGAAGGTAGTGAAGATCAAGATGTTATTTTCCCCATCCTAGTTCATAGACCTTCTGAAATTTATCTGCAGAGCTCAGGAAAATAGCCCTTATTCTAGATTGTGACATATTGGATAGGGGAATTGAGAGTTCAGTCTGAAGAAAAGAGGTTTTTTTTTTTTTTTTGAGATGACAATTGATGTTAACTATATTCCCAGCTACCATTTTAAAGAGAGATTAGATTTCTTCTTGGCTCCTGAGAGCAAAACTAGAAGCAATAGGTGCAAATTTCAGATTGTTGAGGTAAGGCTCAATGTAAGGACAAGATTGCAAACAATGAGAGTATATAAAAAATGGAGTGAGGCTATATAAGGAGATAATAGTGAGCTCCCCATCATTAGATGTCTTCAAGCAAAGACTGAACTATATATTTAATGTTTTCAAGGAGTTGATTCCTTTTTAGGGATTTATTGGACTAGATATTCTCTGAAGTCCCTTCCACATCTCAGATTCTTTCATTCTTTCTCAATTAGATTGCTTTCTTCCTAACATTTAAACTAAGAATAGTTATATTGAAGGGATGGGAATTTTTATTCTTGGGGAATGATCAGGGTAGAGCTACAACAAGCTGTAAAGTTTACAGAGATGGTAGTAAGGTGCCCATCACTGAAAGTCTTCAACTGGAAGCTAGATGAACAATCATTTGGGATGCTCTAGAAGGATTCCTATTTATATTTAACGTGGGCTAGATGCTGCTTGGGCCTTTTACCAAAACTGAAATTCTAGGCTTTTATGATTTCTAATGGTGGAGATGAGGAAAGATTTGATGGAGGACTTGGCGTTTGAGCTGACTTAGCTTTGAAGGATGGTCATTTTCCAGGGAATGGTTTAATCCAAGGCACAGAGGTAAGAAAATGAAGCTCGTTTGTTTTGCTTTTAGGCAATTGGGGTTAAGTGACTTGCCCAGGGTCACACAGCTAGTAAGTGTCAAGTGTTTGTTGAGGCTGGATTTGAACTCAGGTCCTCCTGACTTCAGGGCCGGTGCTTTATCCACTGCACCACCTAGCTGCCCCTAAAATGCAGCTTGTTTTTAAGAACCAGACCAGAATGAGACCAGTTTGACCAAAAGGTGGTTACATGAATGGAGAAGTGAGGGAGAAGAATGGAAAGAAGAATGATGCCTACATTGCATTTCCTGGTTATTTTACTAAAGCTGATGTTGAATTAGTCAGGCTGCATTTATTAAGCACCAACTCTGTGCCCAGCATTGTGGACACACAGAGAAAAATAAAAAAAAGAAAAGAAAAATAATTATACCTACCCTAAAGGAGCTTACAGCCTACCTAGATCATGAAGGATGAATACTGTGCTTAGAGGAGCCAGGGAAGCAGATTACCAGAATAAACAATTACAGTTACAAACCAAGTGGATATTGGGAAATTTGAGTAGACATTTAATATTTTTCTCTGTTTCCTACAGGTCATCAGATTATGGGACCTCATACACGAAACTCAACTTACAGCCAGGCATCACTACGGTGATTGACAACTTCTACATATGCCCCACAAACAAAAGAAAGGTATGAGACCTTCTTTTCTATTTGCAGCTAATTATTCACTCTAAGAAATTTAGAATGAAGTTCAGTGACTTCAGGGAAGAATTTGCTTGTTAGAAACATAATAGAGTCATTTTGCCACAACAGGAAACTTCATATTGAAACTTTTCTTGTGTAACCACGTCTCTAAGAGTCTGAGCCATGTGGTCACAGTTTGCTATCTAATCCTAATGGTGGTTAATTGATCCATGAAGAATTCTGTTGAGCATTTATTTAGAAATGTTGTTTTGTCTTGTACCTACAGAGAAGACACACGGAAATTAGATGTGCAGAGAGAAAAACATAGCCAAATTCTTGCAACCGTGGGAGATATCCACACACAGACACACAAAGAGACAAATACACATGGTGGTAGACATAGTCATATGTACATGGAAGCAGAAAGATTCATACCTATGAAAATGAGGGTGAAGAGAGAGAATTTTTAGTACAAGTCAATGTTTACTATTGATCTATTTTTAACAGAAAAATGTGTCTCTATGCTTTGGAATTGGGCATAATCAAATATTAGCCATGAGCATTCAATTGATTAGCAATGGATATGATGTATTTCCCTGATATTCATTGTTGTTCATCTGTCCCATGTGTTAAGCATCTTGTTCTGAGGCATATTAGAGGACTCTGCTTTTTAGTGTCCTACAAGACAGTTAACTGTTTTCTTATTCTTTGAACCTGAACTACTTGCACGCCTCTCCAGATTGTCCCTGGCAGGGAACGACGCTCTGAGCTAAGCAAAAGGCATCAACTCATTTCAGGCACAATTGGCTTTGGTCTCCTACCCAAAGAACTGGGAGAGTGATCCAGCTGCATGTACTCATTTCTTTGCCTCTGGACAAGGAGATAAAATCTGAAAGTAGCATGAGTGGATTGAGGCTGATATAAACTGCTTAGTGGCCTAAGAAAATGAGCCATCAGGAAGAAATTGAAGTTTAACTGTGACCTTGTAGTGTTTAGATGCTTAACATTATGTGTGTGTGTGTGTGTGTGTGTGTGTGTGTGTGTGTGCCTGTATGTGTGTATATATATTTTTTCCCTTGAATATGATGGAGGTAGGCTCATATCAATATTGGGAACTCCTGATGTGGAAAAACACCTTCCACCAATGGCAGAGCACTAACTCCTCTGTACCTTAGAATCTTAGAGGGCCACGTGAGGCACTGAGTAGTTAAGTGACTTGTCCTGAGTTACATGACTGGTATATATCTGAGAGAGAACTGGACCCACATCTTTCTTTCCAATGTAGTGTGCCATGCTACCTACTCACGATTTCCTTGTTGTTTTTAAGTTTACAAAATGTTTCCCTCACCCATTGCTGTGTGAGGTAGTTAGCACAAATTTTATTATACTCATTTTAAAGAAAAGGAATCTGAGGTTCAGAGAAAGCTAGTGGTCACAATAAAGACTGCACATTAGTAAAGAACTTTGACAAATCTGGTATATGCTTTAACTCTGTGAACTTCAGCCAGATGCAAGGCCCCATTTACAGCAGTTTCAGGTTACATTAGGATTCAGCTGTTAAATATCATTCCTTCAGGCTGTCTTGATATGCTTGGCTTTATTTTTAACAGGATGTCATCCTTTTTTTAAGCACTCCTTTTTCTTAAATGGGCCTTTTATTGCTCGTAAAAAGTGGTCTGATTGACAGGCTTAGAATTGAACTTAGGCAGAACAGAATGTAGAGAAGCAAAAAAGGGAAGAGACAGATTCCTCTTATGTGATGAAAGTGCCACTTTGGACAGGAAGACATCCGCATGGAAGAGGTGATTCAGGTTGAGTAGTTACAACTTTCTGGGTCCGTTGGCAGACAGGAGAGTACCAAGTTGCTCCTTGGCAACTGGTCTATCCCATCTGTACCAACTAATCCTCACCCCCTACTCCTTGATCCCCAAGCCTTCTCTGCTGTAGTTAGCCTCAGCCCTTAGCACAGTACTTGGTGTGATAAGTGCACAGTGGGTACCTAATAAATATTGGTTGATTGGCTGGATGGCCAACAAACAGGGACTAATTTCATTCCTATTGTGAAACTTATTTAAATTTTCCTTTCTTTTCTCCTCTATCTCTCAAAATATCCTGGTGTTAATGACATAAAATCCTAAGACCACCCTGGTACAAATTTCCAGCTATAGGTGATCTCAGGAATGCCTTATCATCATAGATTCATACAATATTTGAAAACAAAACCTCAGCCAACTGAACAGTACAAAGCATATTTGCTGCAGAGGGAAATGAGACTAAAACATATGTCATTCTTTGTTCACCTATTCTGGGGTCTGTGAACTGGGAAGAAGTGTGGGAAATCAATTCTGTCAGGGGAGATAGAGCTGTAAAAAGATAAAATTGTGCCTAGGGCAAATTCATTAAGGGAAGGAGGGATAGAAGTGGAGTAAGTGATGATAATCCATAGGATGGTCTAACAGGGATAAGGGATAGCAAAAGGGAGCAGGATTGTTTGAAGAACACATCAGAGCTAACAGTTTAGTGTATCTAGAGGAGCACAGAGTGAGGCATGGAGTAGTGATACCTACAGGAAACGTTATACCAACGCCAGGAAAGAAAGCACATGTTCCACCTAGGAAGGAGGAATCCCTACCCCTCCCCAGAAGTATATCCTCTGGACCAAAACCCCATTCCCAAGAATCCTCCAAATTTTGCTATACCCTTCCTAAACTCTGGAGCTTCACATGACTCTGCTTTGCCAAAACTACTACAAGGCTTTAATATCAGCCAACTGATTACTCTCAGGAGTAAGACCTCTGTGTCCTCCTCCTTAAGTTTAGTAGACCGTGTCATCCACATACACCCACAATTAAAGCAGAACTTTGCTCAGCACAGTCACTCTCAGGTTGTGCCTTGCAGTGGTGTCAACTTCACTCACTGCCCTCAGCTTTCCTTCTGCCTCTGACCAGGGTGCTGACATCCTCTGCAGTGTATCATCTTTCAGAAACTCCTAGTCTTAAATTCAAAACTACTCAACAAAAATAAGATCAAGGAGGCATGGTTAGCCAAAAGTGGTTCAAAAAACACCTGGACATTCTACTGACTTATAATGAGTCAATTGTGAGGCATGATAGATCCTCCTACCGGAACCATCCCTCCAACTTTGAAAAAAAAATGTAATTTTAGGTTTTAGATTGTATTTCTTTAAAACAAAAACATAGTTCCCAGAATGAAAAAATGAAAGTTATTATCTTGTTGTCCTCTGCCCTGGCTGGATCCCATCCAAAATATTGTATTCATTTTTAGATATCACATTTTAGGTGGATCATTTGTAAAATGACATGGATCTAGAGGGGGCAGAATGCTGAGGGGACTGACAAACTTGTCATATGAGGATTGTTTGGGGGGAAAAAAACCAAACTAGGAATGTTTAGTATAGAGAAAATGAGACTTGAGGGGATGCTTGAGGGAACATGATCAATATTTTCAAGTGTGAAAAGGGCTATTGTATAGAAGGATTGATTGGACTTGTTCTGCTTTGACCAAGAAAACTGAACAAGGAACAATGGATAGAAGTTATAAAAAGACAGATTTCTGCCTTAATTAAAAAAAGCTTTCTAATGCAGAGTTGTTCCAAATGGACTGGCTTAGGAGGTAATGCATTCCCAATCAAAGGAGCTCTTCAAGCAGTGGCTGGATGGCCAATTGACTGGGACAGGTGGGAGTTTAGCTAGATGGCCCTTCCAACTCTGAGATTCTATAACTCTGAATTATGATTTGGCTTCTACTTGAAGCCATCCCTGAGGACTCTAGGTCTCATTATTATTCATATATTCTCAATTCCTAGAATATTTATACTTTAAGGATGGAGAAGTGACTTCATCATTGTGAATATACTGATGAAAATTGAAAGCCTTTAAAGCTTTAACGAGTTGCTATAGAACCCCCTTTGCCATGCCTCACCCAAATTATCACATGGTTATCAGATGTTTAGTGATACCTTTTTCAAATTTCTCCATGCTGGATGCTCAATAACAGAATCACAGCACATGGCTGGGTCTATGTTGAAAGTTTTGCTACCTTCAAAAGATGTTCCAGAGCTTCCACTCTGCTGGTAAGGCCTTGAAGAATACTTGGTTACTACAACAGCATGATAAGACTATAGTAAATTATTCTATGCATATACCTTTGAAACCTTGGGCAAGTAAGTCAGTTACCTCTTTGGGCTTCCATTTCCTCTTTTGAAAAATGAAAGGAGTAATGTAGATGACTTCTAAAGACCCTACTAATAGAATATTTGCAATCTGATGAGGTCCTTAAGGAGGACCTATGGGAGAATGATAAGAAAAAAATAGCTTCTATTTGTATAAAGATTTATGGTCTGCAAATTACTTTCCATAAATTTCTCCATTTTAGACTCATCACGACCTTGTCAGGTAGTTAGAGCAAGTGTCATTATCCCCATATTGAAGATGAGAAAACTGAAGTCTGAAGATGGAGGCTGAGTTGGGATTCAGAGTCAGTTCTGGGTCATACAATTTAACACATGATTGTAAAGTCTTTTCCCTGGAATGCTACTCTTCTTATACCTACAAACCCCTATTTTACTGTCTGGTACCAAAATAAGTCTGTTTAATCCATCTTCTACATGGGAGATAGACAGACATACAGACAGAGGAGAATGAGGAGAAAGAGAAAGTGGGAAATCAATCAGGAGCTAAAGAATGATGGAAGGTTTCATGGAAGAGGTGGCATTTGAACTGGTGGTAGAAGTCAGCCCCTTTATCCCAGCCTAATTCATAGAGCAGTGTAGCAGATGGCTTGAACAAGTTTTGCAAAGTTTGAGTCTCTATTAATTTTAAATAACTTGGCATATTGTTTCTTTCACTTTCACTAAGAAACTTTCCAAACTGCTTGAAATATATTCAAGTGATGTGTGTATAAAGATCTAGCATCCAGATCCTTTTAAAATTAACTAACTTGATCATGTCCTGAGAAAATCCATTCTGCAGATGGATTAGAGATTT